TGTGTTTGTCAGCATGTACTGTATACAGCGGTGTTTATTAGAGTAATTAGAAACAAAACAGAAGTAGTCTGATTTGACCAATAAGAATAATTAATGGGATGATCACTTAAATCTCCACCTCACAGAACCACAGAATCATAGAAGTCATAGACTTAGAAAGTCAAGAATGGACTTTAGTAATCATCTTATTTAGCTCATTTTAAAAATTGGGGAAACTGAGGTCTCGAGTAATCAATAACGACATCTGTATGAAATTTCTATTGTACAAAGACTTCACTTCCTCTTCTAATCTGAGTCTTCCAGGGCCCCTCGGCAGCACTGGTATTATCCCTATTTTTTCAGGGGTGGAACCAGATTCCAAGAGTGGTTAAATGGCTGACCCCAAATCACTCTTTCTCAAAGTGGAGAAAGGACCCCGCATCTTATACTTTCCCACTACATCATAAAACACTCCATCATGATCACATTTGAGCTATATGTTAGACCTGACACAAAACTAATTTAAGGCAATTTTCTTCTAGTTCCACGAATATTTTCACTGAAGCCAGTTCTGTCTCAGGTTAAGGGACTTGCTCAAATGAGTAAATTGCATTTGTGCCGTGAAGGAATGTCTTCTGTCCCCATCACACTCACATATCTAAAACTCGTGAAACCCTCTCCAACACTCTTCAGAGTATGTGGAACTCCCAAGGTTTTAAAGCAGTGACTCCTAGCAGAAGTTATGCCACTGAAGAAGGTATGGGAGGAAGAAAAGGAAATGACTGTTTGTCTTCAGCTCTCTGGGAAGAAGACGCTAAGGAACTGGAGTCTTCTCTGGCCCTTCCAATGAATGACTATAGAGTAGAGAAGGTGCACAATTGTGGATCAGTCAGCTCCACATTTAAGGAAGGTCACCCCTTCCTCAAACTCTTCTTCCCCTCCCTCCCCAACTCTTCTGCATCAAGGGCTTGGATCCAGAAGCACTGAGAAAGAATGGAAAATCAAATGTTTTCAGCGATCTACAAATTGGTGGATCCACAGTTCTAAGCTTAAAACATTTCCATCTCAATGCTTTTTTTTTTTAAAGTAAGTATAGTATCCTCTGCTCTGGAAAACAAACAAACGTTTGGCTACACATGCATCTACTCACAGGGCTCACGTGTTTTCTCACTTAGCTTGTTCTCCCTAACACGTTCTTAGAAGGAAAGACTTTCCTCACAGGTTCTCCTCCCTTTGAGAACTCTGGGACTCCATGACACCCTGATTAAACACGACGGCTGTGCTTTCAAATACATGTTCAGGGATCACTGTGTTCACCTTAAAAATGTAACTGTTAGAGTTCCTTTCTTTTCCATTTTCTCTGCCTTCTCATTTATTATATCTGATTGAGAAAATGTCCTACATTCCCTCACCAGAGCCAAATCTGTTTCTCCCCTTCCTTATAAGAGTTAATTTCTAATAGCGAATCCTCAATTTCCCTTAGTTTCACTGCCTCAGTTTTCCTGAGTAAAGACACAGATAAAACTTGATAATCTTTCATATTACCCGGCAACGCTGGGCAGGCCTAGCTGGCATCATGCTTCTCAGAGGAAAAGCCAAGTTGCCCTTGCCTAGGTTAAGACGACTTGGGGTGAGCTGTAATCTCACAAATGGCAGTGATTTCAAGCTAATATGCTTTACGGTCATACTTCTGTATAAAGTGGATACCATTTCTATTGACATTTGATTGAGCACAGTGGGAAAATTTATCCTTTCTTCCTCATAAATCCTGCTCCTGTCCTCTCCATCCTTGTCCCATCGTTCTCCATCTCCCTTCCCCAAAATACACACTTATGTTCTGTTTCTTCCCTTGTCTTTTGCTGAATTCTCCTTTTCAGGAATCCTTTAGCTGTGCCATACAGGAAAGACTATGAGCTTTTCAGGTTATAGATTCATATTGAAATCATAGATTTTTGGGGGTCCATGTTGATTTGGGTTAGTTTAGAGTAATCCTAATAGAGGTATTAGTAAGCCCTTACTGATTTCATTCATGAAATTCTTGCCATCACCTACTATGTGACAGGTCCTGTGAAAGTTACAAAGAGTCTATTTCCTCTAGGAGCTTATCATTGGTCTTTCGTTTGTGGATTCTACCTGGCAAAAGGCAAAAGAAGGCATAACAAATATCTCTTTAGAGTGGAGCCCTCAAATAACATCCTGAAGCAAGAACGTACACTCCTAACCATGGTCGGCAATACATGCAACTATGTTCAGAAACCTGGGCAAGAAGGCAGGAAACACCATCACCAAGACAGAAATGGCTTGTGACTCTGTCCTGGCGCGGAGACAGCTCCTTGCAAAAGAAGGCCTTCCCCAGGGGAAGGAGGATGGAGGTTCTGAATCTGAGTCTCTGCTCTTCCATTTGCTAGTTGTGTGACTTCGGAGAGGCTGACGGCCTCTCTGTACTGCAGTTTCTCATCTCTAAAATGTAATAACCCTGCCTGTCTTCAGGCTTGTTAGTATTATCAAATGACTTAGAATTAGTGGAGTACTTCATAAACAGGAAAATGTCTGATAAATATTAGGCGCTCTAATATTTTGATCTCTATTTACAGAAAATAATCCATGTCATTGTGTCAAAAGGAAAAGGGACTTATCAGTGTCTCTGTCTCTGTTGGTGCCACAACTATCATTACATGGATGATAGATGAATCTGGAGGCCATACGTATCCCTTCTCTCCGTCTGTTCTGGCACCTTCCCCACTCATCAGTCACTTATCCTGCTTCTTTTGTCATCTAAATATTTCTCAGTTATGTTCCCTTCTCTCCATTCCTTCTTCACTACCATAGTTCACACCCTCATCTCTTTTCCAGATCACTGGGTCAGTTTCTAATGGTCCGTTTCCTGTCTGTTTCCTCTTACATTCATCTTCAAGTCACTCAGGCACCAGAGTAATCCTCTTAGATGCTAGCCTAACCACATCTCTTCCCTGTTCAAAATTCAACGCCTTCCCAGTCACAGCCCTAGCATTAAAAACACCTTCCAGGTTCAAGCACCTGCTGATTGTCCAGCATGACATCTGCCCATCCAACTCCAGTCCCACCAAAATGGTTGGTCCCTTTCTTATTCCCCAAGAAAGTTCAGACATCAGTGAAGACTTCCTCGACCTCCTTCTGCCACTCACACACTTGTTTCCCTTCTCCAGAAATTCTGTGTTCCTCCTCTGGACTCTGGTAATACCTTGTGTATATCTCCACCTTTGGACCATAATTTCCCCCTCTAGAGCCCACCTGGAATCTGGCACACTGTAAGAGCTTGGTAAACGTTTATGGAATGAGAGAATGGATGCCCAGATGGTAATGTACTCATTTTTATGGGTATTTCTTTGACCAGATGTAAAATATTTTAAAAGATGAATTGAGTACTTCACCCGTTGCTATTTTCAGCCATATCTAAATATCTAGTTAGCAATTACTTAAGATCTTTGCATATGTATGTATCATAGTATAATATGAGGAAAATTAGGACATTTAATAGGCTTTTTCAAGTAACAGGTGACCTTTCATCTTTAAAAGTCTTTGCTTTTTCAATGAGCCTCAATTTCTCTACAAGATCAATTTCACTCAGTACACTCAAAAAGAAGAATGAGAAGTTGTGAAAGTTTGACTTTATTCCCAATCAGTTTGAAGGGCATTTCTTGGCTCTTGAGTTGTCCTTTCTGAGAACAAAGGCTCAGGTATTTGGACTCTCCAGCAGCCCCTTCAGCTGAGAAGCCAGTTGGACAGCAGCGGGGCGAGTGCGTGAGCAGTGGGAAGAACTCACTGACAGATGTGTCCTTGTTCTTTTCAAAGACAGTCCTGGACACTAGCACTTATCCAGCTGCAGGGCTCCATCCTGGCTTTTCTCACTTTGTTTTGGAAATAAATTCAAGGTTGCAAAAGAAAGAAGACTGTAGCGTGGGAAGCCTTAGGCATGACAGGATTTTCTGTTTTCTTTCATTGTGTCGTTTTTGCTCAGTACTTTGTCTCCAAGCTCCTCTTTGTAGAAACAGTTACTGTAACGTACTCCTCCCACACCTTCTAGACAAGTGCTTTCAAAACTCACTAAACATCCCAACTACATGGGGCAGACTCGTGAATGCTGACGTATTCTAGAAAGGGGTTCTGGCCTGAGTGCATTAGCACACTTAACCTACAAGTTTCAAACCAAAGTTATAGTTGTTACCTGCAGGTCAGTGGGCATGGCTGCTCAAGTGTTTAGCTCTATGGCCCTGGACAGGAGGTCAGAGGGGAGAAGGAAGCGCCTGGAAAAAGAGCTCAATGGTTCCAGAAAAGGCAAGACAAACCAAAGAACCGAGAAGCGAACAAACAAAACAAAAAGCAGGCTGGTTACTTCTCCCCTCCCCCTCAAAAAAAGTCATTTTCTCAGGTTGTAGAATATTTTCATTCCAGATGCTCAGTTAAAGGGCCCTGAAAAGACTCAGCCTCTGAGGAATTTGAAAAGCAGCGAAGGAAACAAGATGTTGCAAGTCCAAGTTGCCATCTTATGCTGTCCCAAGCACTACGTATCACAGACTCTCATTTCAAACGTGCAGACGTTGGCCTCCGTGTCGCTGACATTCTGGCAGGGTCTTGAACATTTCTGCCGGCCACTTTGTCCTTTGTGGTAAAAATGGGGACCATATAACTTTAATACCAGGGGATGGCTTAGTCGTGAGGGAGAATCTTCTTGAATGATTCCCATTCCTGGGGTACCCCTACGATGCCCACACTCATGCTGAGAGTAGAGCTAAGGATTTTTATATCTATTTAACAGAGCATCCTCTCGGAAACCAGAAGCTGTGTCAAGGAAATCTTTTAACAGAAGTATGCATATTGAATGATATTTTTGGCAGTAGAAATCAATTCACAGAACACTGAGTTGAGGTTATCAAGAAACGCAGGAAACTACCAAGCGGTTGGTACCTTGGGGGACGAGGAGCAGTTTTCAGCCAGGGCACCAGCATTCATTCAACAAACCCCTAAGGAGCCCCACTCCTTACCACGGGTACCACGTGCCGTCAGGGATGTGCAGAAATCTGGATGTTTGCACCTGGTTCGCTAGCATTAGCGAGATTAGGGGAATCTGCCTTCCGCCTGCGAGATTATTCCTCCCACCTGCAGAGAGAAACAGAAGGCTTTGAAAGACCCAACTAAGGGCTTCGCTCTCTCCCAAGGGCACAGATGCTCCTAAAGATGTGCACAATGGAAGTCAGAGATGCGAGTAATAAAAGCTGACACTCGTTAAGCACATAGTATGTACCAGGAACGGTGTACTAACTCCTCACAAAACTGAGGGGGTAGGACTATTTTCCCCATGTTCGGCTGAAGGAATTGAGGTAGAGAGAGGTGAAACAGCTCTTTCAAGGTCACATGGCTCGTCGCTGCGGGGTTAACTCAGGCAGTCACGACCACCTCCCTGGGAGGGCCACGTCAGCAAAAACACGGTTTTCTACCAGCTCACCCGACTTCCTGGCAGGAAGTGTTCTGTCTTGCTTCTGTGGCTTATTCTTTTGAAACACTAGCATAAAAACTGGGACATATACCTGCCATACTGTTCTAAATGACTAGAAATTAGTGAATCAACATACTAAGCACCCCTAGAAAAAGGAAATATCCTCAAGTATCTGTGTTCTGGGGCTCCATCCTCGGTAATTTTATGTTTTTCAGGTGATTATCTTAAAATGCAACCCACTTTTGCCTGGAGAAGGTGGCTAATGGGTTACATTCTGTCACCCCCCGACCACATGTACCTAGTAGCACAGAGTCCTGCTTACCACCGATATGAATAAACATGAATGGCAGGCTACACAGAGAGTCTGAATGTCCTCGGATATGTACTATTAATGGTGGGACATCAGCTATTTTTAATTTAAATTGCAAATGATACTCAGGATCATGGAGTTTAGAGGAAGTATAAACAAAATAGATTTCCTGTGGCACATCTGCTGAAAAGGAACAACATTCACTTTCCGATCCTTCATCATTTGACTAATGATGAACTAGATGATCCCTTCTTCTGAGCTGCAAGATTAATTCATATACGGAAGCACACGCGCAAGGCTTCACTGACACCCACAGTGACAGTGGCTTGTACTTTTTACACTAAGCTTGTACTTTTACACCAAATAGAAATGGATGGCTAACCAGAAACAACAAGGACTGTTGAGATGATGAATACAAAACACCTGGGCATAAAAGCTACTAAAAATAATCACGGTCAAGTCAAAGTGATGGAGGTTTCTCGTATCTAATGGATTTCTATCATCAGGAAGAGTGAGGTGCTGCTGATTGCATGCTTCCCCCTTGGACCAAGGTGGTTGTGTTGTTCCCTGATAGCTTGCATGCGTTTTCCCAATTGGCTCTCGTTAGTTGGAGCCCTCATCTTATCTAAGCCAGTTGCACGGATTTTATATTAATAGGTATGTAAGGCTAGAGCCTTGCTTCATATATCATGGTGCCAGAGGGGCTATTTGCCTTTTTCCTACACAGGAACTGCCTCCTATTGTAACTGGCTCTGATATTTGCTTTGGAGAGATCATTTCTCCCCCTTTGGAATCCCATGGTCTTTCAGAAATATTCACATCTCCCTCCCCTCCTCCAGAGGGCACACTGTCTTTTCTCTTCCCCTCAGCAAGACAGATTTGTTTCAAAGACTGATAATTGATCAAAGCCAGGTCATTCAGAGTCAGTGAGACTCACTGCAGATGCTTTGCTGTTTGAGCTGTGCAGGAAGGCAGTTCTCTGCCGTCCATTTCCTGAAAACTGTGAGGATGAGAAGCTGGAGCTGCAGCAGCCACATTGTAAACATGAGGACATAAACATGCATAAACATGGAGCCCTTCACAGCAGGCAGAGCCAAGAGATGTAGAGACAGAAACAGAACAGGTGACTTTGAGCTCCAGTCAGCCCCAGCTGCAGCCAGCCCTGTTCCCTGGGATTATCATTGTGAGCTCAAACATTTCCTTGTTGTCTAGGCAATCTGGGCTGCATTTTTTTTCCCCTCCTTTAACCCAAAGCATTCTAGTTGATATATATACACTACTTAAAACTATAACTTAAAAACCAGTTTTCTTTCGTGATTGAAACAATCCTTATGAAGCCCAATATTATTTCCCTTCCCATCAGCATATTCCTATCTGAATTATTTAAAAAATTTTCCACTTAAGTATTAATTATGAATGGTGACTTTTGTGTTTAGGACAACTTAAAAATATAGCTCTTGTTAAAGATGTATGACATCAATTGTACCAACGTAGCACATCCATTTCAATGGCCTGGGAAATTTGGAATCTCGCCAACCTCTCAAATTGCCTTTCGATACTGCTATCTTGTCTCATTTCTCTTAAGTCTCAAAAGAGTGGTGAAATAAACTCTTAGAATTCATTCATTTGTCAAGGAAATGCAGTGGATGACATATGGAAGATCAAGCTGACCTCACCAAAGTTGAAGTTTGAATTGGTAATAAAACAGATATAAGCGAAACGACTGTAATATTCCTGCTTTTGTGGCCGATTCTTAGGTATTATAAAACTGCAAATGACTGGGGATGCTTCTAGACATATATGCCTAGTCTTCAGAGTTGGCATCTTCAAGTGCACTGGATTCTTGTTTCTTATGGCAGACAAATAATTCCCTTAAAAACCGAGTTAACAGTAAGTCACCCAGAAATTGACCACACACGATTTAGATACACAGCCATTGTGTATCTCTTAATTAAGGAGTTTCCTAAAGGGCCATTTGGCTCTAAAGATGTAATATTATATTACAGACATTTAAACTAATCATTTGTAAATGCTTCCTGAATTTTTCAATTTTTACCTGGTCCTTGGAGATTGCCTATTTAATTAGCAGCTACTTCCTGCAAGAACTGCAAGTAAGCAAACCTAAGGGTTCAATAATGTGAAATGTACATTAGCAAGAATATTCAGCCTCAAGATGAACTTTGATCGTGTGGCTCTCACTAAAGTCGTTAACGGGAAGTTTTCCTAAAGCGTTGACATCTTCCTCCTCATTCTCATTCCATGTCATGGTTTTGGTCATTATGATAACTGCTAAGAATAAAACTCCCTTAAGCTAGGAGAAATAGTTGACTTTACAACTGAATGTTACAAATATTTTCTCCTGGTCTGTTGTTTGCCTTTTAACTTTGTTCATGGAGTTTTAAGCTATTCACAACCAGCCTTTGATTTTAATATCACAATAGCAACAGACTAGGGGCAAAAATAACCACATTCTTTCCAACAGGTTTCCTTTGGGAACAAATGGCCCAAGGGCCTTCAGAACTAGGTATTACCACTCTCCATAGCCCAATACGACCCTGGCCTTGCTGGGATTATAGGCATCAGTGACTAGGTTTTTCGATAGCTTTTGCACAAAACAAGCAAGAGACAGTAAACCAATTAGAGCCAGATAAGCTTTTTTTGTTTTTCTTTTGGTGAGGAAGATTGAGTTAACATCTGTTGCCAATCTTCCTCATTTGGCTTGAGGAAGATTGCTGCTGAGCTAACATCTGTGCCAGTCCTCCTCCATTTTGTATGTGGGACGTCACCACAGCATGGCATGATGAGCAGTGTGCAGGTCCACGCCTGGGATCTGACCTGTGAACCCCAGGCAGCAGAAGTGGTGCGCGCGAACTTAACCACTACACCACCCAGATAATCTTAATCACTTGGCCAGTCAGGATTCTACTCTCGTATTTTCTTAGTATTACTACACCCAGATTAATCAATCTGCACATCTAAATCTTATTCGTACCCCTACAATTCTTGTAACTAGTAATAAATCTAAAACATCCACTGACCGAATGGGTACTTGCCCACTTTCCCTTTGCATTCTTTTTTCATTTCTTACTGTAGACGCATTTAAGATCACGCAATGTGTTCCCTTCCTTCAGAGGGCAGAGGAAGCACTGGGCCCTCTCTGCCTACGAGCAGACTTTTCCAACAGTTATTAACAGCAGCAAAGTATTTGTTGCTGTTTTGGAAAAAAAAAAGAGTTAGTGACCTGTTTTTCACCATGTTAATGAATCTATTCTATTCATATTGCTGCCCAGTTTCTTTTGTTAATTGAAGGGTTTTCCCCCCACTAAATATTGAAAATTCTTTTAAGGTTCAATGAAGCTTAAAGCTTTCTCATTTGCCTGTTTGTTTTGTAACAATTATTTTAAGACACAACACGACTTGCTTCCTTATACGATTCTCAGGCAGAAAAAAGACTTGTTAATGAAAAGATACATAAAGTTTGAGGTTATATGATGACCTGAAAAACAATTTTGTAATCTAAGGGGACAAGCTACTTCATCTAAGGCTTGTTTCTCAATGCTCTTGAATGGAGAAGCGGTGACTTCAGGAACCCCTGCTTCCTGACCCCTAACTTGTTCCTCTGGGAGCCTCAGCAAAGCCACAGACGATCCTATCACAGGTCATCAGCTGGCAAGTGTCCCAGGTCTTCTGCTGAAGAGCTACTGCTGTCATTAAGGACGGGAATTTCCAAGCTTGGCAGCACAGCGTTCCCCCCGTAGAAGGGGATGGTGTATTTAATCTGTTAGAACGGCCTCTCTTTCCTGTCGGGATACCGAGCTGTGAAGCTACCACACAAGCAGAAACAAAGAGGAAAAGGTCTTCTTGGTAATTACAGAGAAAGAGAAAGCATTGATTATAATGTGCCTGAATTGAAGAAATGGTTCTAGAATAAAAAATACTTCTAAGATGACATTAATACGTAGGGTCTCTCTCAGTCACAATGCAATTGACTCTTCAGCTTCCACGTTAATTACTGTAATCACAACTCTAAGGCAGACAAATGTATTGGCTAAAAAGAACTTTCTGGGAGAGCATAGTATGGACAACTTTTTTGGGGAAAATAATATGATCTTAAAAAAGGAAAAAATCATTTTTTTTTTCTCTACCCGTAGAAGGGAATGCTCAGGGCGTTGAGGTGGAGATGGAGAGGCGGGTGGTGGCTAGGATGAAAATTCGCCATGAGAACAAAAACTATCTTCAGGGCTCACTGTGGGCTGAGCAGCCCGTTGGGGGAGAAAAGGGAAATTAAAAAGGAATACTGTTGGGGCTGGCCCCGCGGCCGAGTGGTTAAGTTCGCGCGCTCCGCTGCAGGCG